CTAACAGGCTCCTGTTGGTGACAGCTTTAGAATGGGCAGCCCAGCTCCTTCTGGATGGAGGTGGAAAGAGGCCTGGGCGGGGGAGGCTGGCCCCTGCCTCTCCCTAGACACCGGCACCGCCCCTCCCGCACTCCCTGTCGCCCGGAGCAGCTGTGCCTGCCTGGAGGCCGTGTGCCTGTCTCCAGGACTCTGAAGGAGGCCCTGGCTCCCTGCTCAGCCCAGCCCGTCCACCGCAGGGCAGAAACGCACGATTTCCCAAGTGTTCCCTTCCTGCAGGCTTTCCCAAGAGCTGGGCGGGGGTGGGGGTGGGGGTGGGGGTGGGGGGTAAGGCCACGGGGACCCAAGAATGAGGAAGTTGCCATCGCCATCTGTTTTCTGTTGTCAACATCGAACACCATGGCCTGAGTGCTTTTTAAAGGATCCAGTCTGGGGCCGGCCTGGGAGAGCAGCGGAGGATGAGCCAAGTCCCTGGGCCCCTGCTGCCTATGTGGGAGGCCTGGGTGGAGTTCCAAGCCCTGGCTTCCACCTGGCCCAGCTCTGGCCATTGGGGCCATTTGGGGAGTGAACCAGCAGATAGAAGATCGATCTCTCTCTCTCTCTCTCTCTCTCTCTCTCTCTCTCTCTCTCTCTTTCAAATAAATCTTTAAAAGAGAGGGATCCTGTGAGTTGTCACAGCCAAGACCCCTGCCGCCCCTGTGGCGCCCCTCTAAGAAGAGAGGGTCTGGGCTCCTGGCCCAGGAGTGTGTGTGCACCTGCTGCACGGCCTCGTGTGGCCCTGAGGTCCCCTGAGGTCGTGACAGCGCAGCCCCAGCCACAGCCTTGCTCTCTGCCCCAGAGGGGGCTCTGGTGGGCGCTCACGGGGTTGAGGCCAGGCTGTTTCCACAGGCTCGGGGTCTGGCACTTCCCGGCATCTGCTCTGCCCTGGCCGCGGGGCCCCTTCCTCCCCTGCCAGCTGTGTGCTGCCCCCAGCTTGCAGAACAAATCGATGCCGGGTTCAGGCACCTGCGCCTGGGCGGCCTTCACACAGCTTAGGGATTGTTCAACCCCAAAGTCAAGGCCAGCGGCGTGGGGAGGGGGTCACTGGAGAGGGATCCTGGGGCACAGGGTTTGAGTGCACACCCCGTTTTCTATCCATTTCTGTTTGGAACACTTCTCAGTGATAAGAAGAGGCAGACATCGCGGGGGGTGGGGGGAGCAGGTCAGGACCCAGTCCTGGCCCGAAGGCGCTCTCGCAAGGGAATATGTGTATTAACGAGGGAACTCCTGCATCCGGCCACCAGAGGGGCCCTGGCTGTGACCCTGACCCTGACAGCCTGGCCAAGGAGCCCGGCGGCCCTGGAGGTGTCTCTGCCCGCCTCTGAGCCCTGAGCTCGGGTCAGTCCTCTGCTGATTGGGAGGGCGTTGCCCGCGGCTCCTCCCCTGGTGGCTGTGGCCAGGAGCTGAGTTTCATGGTGCTGTGTCCCCTGGGGCTGGGCTGGGCAGGGTCTGGAAGCTGGAGCCCGCCAGGACACGGGCTCCCGGATCCTACCAGGACACCGGCTCCCAGCTCCTGCCAGGACATGGGCTCCGGGCTCCTACTGTGAAGTTCAGAGGGGGAGGGAGCTGCCCGCTTAGGCTGGGGCGCCCCGGAGCTGGGTTCTGGAGGAGCTCCGGGAGGGGTCCCTGGAGCCGCCCCCAGGTGCCGGGCAGTGGGGGCTGCAGGGGGCGGGGCTTCACGTGCTAGGTTTCCAGTGCCTTGGACTGGATGCCGAGGCAGGGGCAGCCATGGGGCGTCCTGAGCAGAGGAGGCCGTGGTCAGAGCAGTGGTGGGGACAGCAAGGGGCTGTGGCTGTGACCAGACCCCATGGGGATGGGGAGGGTGCTGGTGCCACGGTGAGGCTGATGGCGCCTCAGAAGGAGACGCCCACACGCGTGTCCGGAGATGCACCGTGGACTCCTTGGGCAGCAGCCTGCTCCCCTGACATGGGCGTGGTTGTCACGAGGCTGGGCCTGGGCTCCCAGCCCCTCCCTTTGGCCCTGGCCAGCAGCCGGCAATTTGGGGGCCCAGGGCCCCGTGCTCAGCTCCGAGGGGTGAGGCTGTGGGAGGCGGCCCACGGCTCTTCCAGCTGGGCGAGTTTGCCACTCACTCAGCAAACAGCTGGCAGCTGCAGGCTGGAAGAGGGGCGGGCTGGCCCGGCGGCAGCAGGCGTGGCCTGGCAGCGGCTACACTGGGGAAGGGGGCAGGAGGCCTGGGGCCACAGGCCTTCCAGGGGCAGGAGAAAATGCATTCTTCACAGTCAGGAAGGGAAAGGGGTAGAGGCGAGCCCGGGCTACGTGAGGGGACTCCTGACGGAACCAGACGGGCGAAACACGCCGAGCAGGACATCCGTCCGAGGGGTCACCGGCGCCTGCCACCCGTCTACGGAAAGACCGCTTCTCGGGCACGTGTTTCTTAAAGCAGGGAGGGGCTCACGCAGGGGAAGGGCTGGGTCTCAGGAGAGCCCCCCCACCTGCAGCTGCTGAGGTGCAGGGCCCCGTGGGCCGCTGTGGCTGGGGCCGACCAGGGGGCGCTGAGCCGCAGGGGTGGGGGGTGGGGGCCTGGTGCGGGGAGGACGGCCGGCCGCCCCCACACGCGTCTTCATCAGCCCCCCACACTGTGCCCCTTACACAGACGTGGAGATGGAGGCTCAGGGAACCAAGAGGTCCCGCCTCCCGGCCCTGGGCGGAGGTCCCGTGCAGGGGCGCGGTCAGGCCTTGGCCTCTGCCGCCCCATTTCACAGGTGGGACAAGCGAGGCTCCAGAAGAGCAGCCATCTCCCTGCGGCTGCAGGGCCCCGCGGGACCCGCGCCCGCTGGGTCAGGCCGGGTGCGCGGCCATTAGCGGCCTCCGTGCGGGGAACCAGGGGATTCTTTCCCGGCGGGGAGTTTAGAACCGCAGCCCCGGGCTCCCGGCCAGTTCCGGGGGCGGGGCCGTCAGGGTGGGGGCGGAGCCTGGCTGGCTGGGGCTGTCGGGGATGGGACGGGGCCTGACTGGGCGGGGTCGTTAGGTTGGGGAGGAGCCTGGATGGGCGGTGCTGTCAGAGATGGGGCGGAGCCTGGCGGGGCGGGGCCAGTAGGCGCGGACGGGGCTGTCCGGGACTAGATGGACCCAACCTGGGCGGGACCGTCGGGGGGCGGAGCCTGGAGGGCGGGGACTGACGGGGCGGGGCGGGGCCCGGAGGCGCGGGCGGCCCTGGACTGCAGCCGCCGCTGCCCGCGGCGCAGTGCCCTTCCGGAGAGCGAGTCCTCGCCTCTGGTGAGTGGGACGCGAAGCCGCAGGGGCCGCGAGCGGGGGCCCGCACGAGTGCGACCCTCGCAGTGCCCGCCCGCCAGCGCGGGGCCGGGCGGGGCAGCTGGGGCCACCTGGGGCTCTGGCTGGGCAGGGTCTGGGGAGCGGGAGCGTGGGAGCCGCAGATGTGGGCGGAGGGCTCCGTGTGCACGCGGGGGTCGGGTGCCCCTGCAGGGCAGCAGGAGGCGAGGGGCAGGCGCTGGGAGGCCCGTGTCCCGGGGGAGCGCCTGGAACGGGGAGGGGGCTGAGGCCGGAGGAGCGCGTGTCCCGGGTCCGCAGCGGGAGCGGGGTGGGTGGGGGCTCGGGATCGGCTCTCCGCGGTCTCCTTCCACTTTCCTTCCTCCCAGGCGTTGCGGTGCGTGGCTGTGCTGTGCTGTGCTGTGTGCGCACGTGTGTGCCTGGCCGTGTCGGGCGGGCAGGGGCTCACTTTTCCCCCAGTCCTGGGCGACAGCCTTTTCAGGAGTTGCCCTCTGAGTCTGTTTTTGATTTCTGCTGGGTCTGGCCGTGCCAGCAGTGCCCGGATGCGCGCTCTTGTCGAGAAAGGAGTGGTTCTCCACCGAGCGGCACACGCACCCGCCTCCCGCCGGCCGTGGCCCTCCGGGCTGGCGCTGGCCGCTCCTAACGGAAAGGATGAGCTGTGACCGCGGGCGCCACAGGCCCAGGAGGAGCTGGGGCCCAGCTCTGTCCTCTCTCTGGGTCTCCTTCCCTGGGCAGGAAGAGGGGCACAGGCCCAAGACCCCAGGGCAGTGAGGGCTCCGATCTCTACCACGCTGCCCGCGGTCGGGGGCGGGAGGTGGGCGGCGGCGCTCTGAGAAAGCTGGGTGCCTGGGCCCTGCACCTGGGGAGGTGACACGGCCGTCCCGGGCGTGGCCGTGTGGTCCAGAGCCTAGGCTGGGGGAGGGCGGTGGGCTTTGGAGCCACGCAGACCTAGAAAGTTCTGTGGCTTCCTGAACCTGTTTCTGGAAAGGAGTCCCCCCTGGGGCGGGGGGGGGGCTGAGCAGGGGTCACTCGGGAAGAATAAATGTTGGCGGTGCCCACTCACTCCCACAGGCCCACGGGCAGCCAGGGAGGGCGCGGCCAGAGCCACCTCCTGCCCCCAGCTCCCCCGCCGGCCCCTTCCCCATTCTCGGTGTTGGAGGCCGGCTGCCCGCTCGAGCACCCGGATCCCCTGGGTGCAGCGTCTTTACCCGCCCAGCGCCTAGGGGCCCGGGGAACATTTGCTCGTCCAGGGTTTCCCAGGGAGCCCCGCCCCGCTGTGGTGCCCCCAGCAGGCGGGCAGGTTCCACCCACCTGCTGTGGGAGTGGCCACGGCCAGACGGGACCTGGAGTTGGAGGCAGAGCCCACTTTCTGGAGGGGGCGGGGATCCAGGGAGGCGGGCGCTTGGCCCTCCCTGGGCCCCCAGCCAGAGCGGATCTATGACTCAGCTTTGTGGGTCCCGCCCCCTGCTCCCCCCTCCGATGATTCAGGGTGACCCTGAGAGGCCCCAGGAAGCTCCCCGCCCAGGCTGGCTCTGCGGGTGGAGCAGGCCCTCTCTGATCCTGGGGGCAGGGGGCGGGGCGGGGGGGGTGCCTGCTGATGGATACAACGTGGAGGACGAGTGCCCAACACTCAGGATCTGGGTCCTCCACGCGGGCGCAGGGTTCCCTGCACTCGGACCATCTCTGCTGCGTTCCCAGGGCATCAGCAGGCAGCAGGATCGGAAGTGGAGCAGCCGGGACTTGAACCTTCACCCATGCAGGATGCCGGCACTGCAGGTGGCACCACAGTGCTGGCCCCACACTTTAAACACTTGAAGCGCAGTGCACGCTCCCTCTGTAACTGCTTTTCAAGTAAATAAAAAATGAGCGGTGCGGTGAGTTCCCGTATTTCCCCAGCGGCTTCCGCTAAGAACAGAGTTACCAGAAGTGGGCGGGGCACCCACCCCATGACACCCCCCACCCCCCATCAGCCTCGTCCCCTGCGCTCGCTGGGGTCTCACTGGGTCTCTCCTTGCCCCTCGTGACCTGGGCACTGAGGTGCTGGGCGCCAGCAGCCAGGGTGGGCACTGCTCTCCTCCGGGCCCGTCCCCGGGATTGCGTGTGCTCGCACTCGGGTTGGCGCTGTGGGCAAGAAAACCACGGTGTGTCCACCTCTGGGAGTCACCCCACAGTGCGATGTCTACACGACTCGTCCTGGCGGCCCGAGGAGACCGGGGTCTGGTCCAGCCTGGTGCTGCCCCCAGCCCTGCCCACCCTCTCAGGTTCCCTCTGGCAGGGAAGGGAGGCCCGCTGGCCCGACTGTCCTGGAGGGGGGGCTGTCCCGTGCCCTGAGCGGAGCCCACTGTGGTCCCTGTTGCTGTCCCTCGCAGATTAGAGCTGGGGTGGCCGGGCGGGCTCCAGCTGACCGAGCAGAGCGCTGGGCAGGCGGCCGGTGCTGGGCAGGTGCCCCCGAGCAGGCGGGGCTGAGTGGCCAGGCTCCCGGCGGCCGACAGCTACAGCTTTGCCCTGCCTGGCCCGCAGCTTTTCCCGGGCCGTGCTGGCTCTGTCACGTGACTCCTGGGCATGGCTGCGTGCATTTGTTACAGTTTGAACAGTGCCAGGGTCATCCTGTAGTGAATTTAAGAAAAAGATTTATTTATTTGTTTGAAAGGCAGAGTTACAGAGAGGCAGAGGTAAAGGCAGGAGAGAGAGAGAGAGAGAGAGAGAGAGAGAGAGAGGCTGGCGCTGTGGCTCACTTGGTTAATCCTCTGCCTGTGGCGCCGGCATCCCATATGGGCCCCGGGTTCTACTCCCGGTTGTGGCGCAGGATTCTGTCCCGGTTGCCCCTCTTCTAGGCCAGCTCTCTGCTGTGGCCCAGGAGTGCAGTGGAGGATGGCCCAAGTGCTTGGGCCCTGCACCCCATGGGAGACCAGGAGGAAGCACCTGGCTCCTGGCTTCGGATCGGCGCAATGCCGGCCATAGCAGCCACTTGAGGGGTGAACCAACGGAAAAGGAAGACCTTTCTCTGTCTCTCTCTCACTGTCTCACTCTGCCTGTCAAAGAGAGAGAGAGAGAGAGAGAGAGAGAGAGAGAGAGAAGAGAGAGAGAGAGAGAGAGTTCTTCCGTCTCCTGGTTCACTCCCCAAATGGCTGCAACGGCTGGAGCTGTGCTGATCCAAAGCCAGGAGCCAGGAGCTTCTTCTGGGTCTCCCATGTGGGTGCAGGGGCACAGGGCTTGGGCCATCTTCCACTGCTTTCCCAGGCCATAGCAGGGAGCTGGATTGGAAGAGGAGCAGCCGGGACTGGAACCACTGGAACCAGCGCCCATCTGGGATGCCGGCTCTGCAGGGCAGGGCCTTACCCAGGGCCACAGCGCCGGCCCCCGTGCAGTGCACTGAGAGCAGTGCTCAGGGTACAAAGCCCTTGCATGGGGGCTAAGCCACTGTCTCCAAGCCCCCACTTGCTGGCGGTGAGGTCGCTCTGCCCGCGGCCTCTGCCCTGAAGCCCTGGGTCCCCCCCGCCCCCTGGCGTCTGCTCCCCGGCTGTGTCCACCTCCTCTGGGGACTGCATGTTGTCACTCAGGCCTCCCTGGCCCCATCCAGCCCTGGGCCTCTGGCCCCACCAGACCACTGCTGATTCTCCAGCCGGCGGCTCTGAGGGGAGGCTGAGCCCCTGGGGCCCGTGGGGGTGCCGAGTGGCTTGGGGTCGCGCCGCAGGTCCAGGCAGAGCTGGCCCCTCGCCCAGCTCCCCTGGCTCTCAGCGGACTTGCAGCCCAGGGAGGTGGCGCTGTGCCTGGCACGCAGCGTGGGATGAGCTTGGTACTGCGTGGCCGAGGGCTGCCAGGCAAGGGGACACGGCCATCCCTCCGCCCCACCGAGGGCGGCTGCACTCCAGCCCTGGGCCTGGCCGCCTCAGGCCTTTCCGAGCCCAGCCTTGAACTCGTGCCGTCCCGGAGGCTCCGGGTGTCGCCTGGCCCACAGGCAGGCAGCTCCCCCTCGCTGGTGCACAGGGAGGGGGCGGGGTGGGGAGGTTTTAGGGTGGGCCGGTGGAACGGCTGTGCAGAGACCCTCTCCACGGCTGCACGCTGGGCCAGGCCCAGGGTAACTGGTGCTGCTACCCCATTGTACAGAGGGGAAAGCTGAGGCCCAGGCGGCTTCCCTGCGGTCTCCAGGAGTAGCCAGGAGACAGAAGACCCAAGGTCAAGGGGCAGCTGGGGCAGGAGCAGCCCCGCCCCCCCAGGGGCCATGAGGTGGAGTTTAGGTGGGACTGAGCCCCGCCCACCGCCACCGCCAACCCTGTGCTCTCTTTCAGAACCGCCCAGAGTAGCAGCCGCGGAGCCATGGCGCCACCCTGGGTGCCCGCCGTGGGCTTTACGCTTGTGCCCAGCCTGGGGGGCTTCATGGCCTCCCACTATGTCCGCGGTGAGGGCCTCCGCTGGCACGCCACCCTGCAGAAGCCGTCCTGGCACCCGCCCCGCTGGACGCTGGCCCCCATCTGGGGCACGCTCTACTCAGCCATGGGGTAGGTGCTGTCCGTCCCAGTCCCTGCCCCGGCCCCTGCCTGGGGGGCGGGCTTGGGTTTCCCGGGTGGACCTCGGTAGCCGGCACCTTCTCCCCGCCGGGACACGGGCCCCGGGTGGCACAGCCGAGCCTTGTGCTGGGCGTCTGCGGGGGACAGGGCCCTGAGTGCAGCTCGTGTGGGCCCCACTGGCTGTGCTCCAAGGTCAGTGACAACCACAGCCAGGACAAGGGCTCCCTGTGTCCAGTGGCTCCCGGCCGGACCGTATCTGGGTTAATTTGACCAAAGCCTCATATGACAAAGGGACACAGAGCCAAAACCTGCAGCCCCCAGTAGAGTCCCTCCTGCCTGTGAGACCTGGGAAATACCACCCTCCCAAAAGGCTGTGCTGGATGGGGCAGGGCGTCCCCCGGTGGCTGCAGTGAGGAAGTGCACCCTTGGGTGCAGTTGGTCCTCAGCCCAGTGCAACACCAGGGACCCCAGGGGCCAGGCCGGGTGCCTGAGGTTCCACGGGAAAATGACCAAGACACCCGGACGTCTCCATGGCCCACCCACTGCGGGCCCTCCCAGTCCCTGCTCTCTCCTCCCCATTCTGCTCCGGCCCCGCACCTCCCACGCCCCTTCCTCTGCCACTGAGATCCTGGCCCAGCCTCCTCTCGTCTGCTCCCTGTGACCCCTCTCCTGGTGGGCAAGAACCGAAGCATCACCTTTACTCACTGACCGCCTGCTGGGACATCCCGCTGCCCCGGTCTCTGTGCCTCAGGTCTCCTTGTGGCCCTAACAGCCATGCAGCCTCCCCCGAGACCCCACGGACCTCACCCAGACTCAGGGGCTCATACCTGCCTCTCAGCCTCTGCAGATCCGACTCCTCCCCCCAGGCCCAGCCCCAGGACCCGGGCCTCTGTGCGGGGCCCGTGTCCTCCTGTGGCGCCCAGCGTCCTGTGCTCACCCAGAGCCCCCGCGGCCAGGAGACCCCCCCAGCTGACACAGCAGCAGTGCGGGGCGTGCAGGGGAGGCTCCGGCCGTCCTCCTGTGGTGCCCTGACCCGCGGCCTCCATTGCAGGTACGGCTCCTATCTGGTTTGGAGAGAGCTGGGGGGCTTCACGGAGGAGGCGGTGGTCCCCCTAGGCCTCTACGCCGGGCAGCTGGCCCTGAACTGGGCATGGCCCCCCATCTTCTTTGGGGCCCGACAGATGGGTTGGGTAAGTGTGGCCGGGCCCTGGAGTCTGTTCACAGGCGCGGGGTGGGGGTCCCAGGGTGGGGGTGGCGGCTGGTGGTCAGCTCTTTGTGGATGGGGCCCAGGGCCTCCCCTCGGCTGGCCTCGCTCCTGTGCTGCTGGCTTGGGCTCTGGGGCCCTAGGAAGGGGGGCCCTGGACACTGGAGCTGTCCGTGTGTGACACACGTCAGCCGCCGGCTCCCTGCCGCTTACACGTCGGCTTCTCTGGGTCAGAGGCTTCTTGCCGCCCATGGCTGGAGCCGACGCCGGGAGAGGCCTGGCCGCACGGTCGCCTCTGGGGACAGCACGAGACGGCTGACGGCAAGTTCCTGTTTGGGCCTTGCAGCACCCTAGGGGTCAGGACTGCCCTCAGCGGGAGCCGGAGCCTCCTGGCCATGGCCTCATCCCTGCGTGTGGTCCCCACGCGTGGCACGCGTCAGGTCAGGCAGGGGCTGTCCCCACGGCAGCCGCGGAAGCGGAGGTTGAGTCCGGCAGCCTCAGGCCCCTGCCCCCTCCCCTCCCCTCGTGTCTCCGCAGGCCCTGGTGGACCTCCTGCTCCTCACCGGGGCAGCGACGGCCACGACTGTGGCCTGGCACCGCGTGAGCCCGCTGGCTGCCCGGCTGCTCTACCCTTACATGGCGTGGCTGCTCTTCGCCACCACACTCAACTACCGCATATGGCGGGACAACCCCGGCTGGCGTGGGGGCCGGCGGCTCCCAGAGTGAGGCCGCACAGGGCCAGGTGCCGTGCGCGGGTCTGTGTGGGCCGAGCCGGGACTTTGCCTGCTCAGCGCTCCTGCAGCACAGGATTTTTAAAGCCAAATAAAGTCTTAGCCTCGTCACAAGCGCCGTGCACTTGGGGCCCCCGGCTGGGGCGGGGGAGGGCTTTCTGCTCGGGCCTGGTGACCCCCACAGGGCTGGAGCCAGCCAGGGACTCCCCAGGTCCCTCTGAGGTGGGGGCAGTGGTTCCGGGATGCCTGCTGGGCTGAGTGCCTGGTTTGAGACCTGGCTAAGCTTTCTGCTAACGTGGGCCTTGGGAGGCAGCAGGGGGGCTCAAGTACTTGGATTTCCACCACACGGAGGAGACTGGGGGTGGAGCGCCAGGCTGTGTGCACACCTGGCCTGCCCGCCGCTGCCACCCAGACGGCCCTCTGGTTCGCCAGCTTCCGAAACACAAACACGCGACCACTACCCCCCACCCCGGCCACTGCCCGCTGGGCACTCGCGCTGCCTGGGTTTTCCTGTGGGGCCTCCTCCTGGTCTGCACCCCCCTCCGAGCTGCCTCCCCAGGTCAAGGCCCCACACCCAGCAGCCGCCTTGCTTGCCTGCCGCCCGGCCACAGAGGACGCTGGTGGCTCGGGCTGCTCAAGCACTCAGACTGTGTGTGGCCCTGGTGGCCCCTGGGGGGGGGGCAGCCTCGGGAGCCCCACCTTGGGCGCTGCTGAAGCCACTTCGATGTCCCTGCCAGCACCTCACATTTCTCGGACACACGGCCCCACAGAACCCGGGGACGGCGTTACTCCTGGTGCCCGATGCGGGCAGACTCCGGCTTTGGGCAGTTTCACCTGCATGGTAATGGCCTCTGGTCTTCCCACGGGGAGCCCCTGGCTGGCAGCCTCCCTGGGGGCTGTCCCTAGGCGAGGACGCCCAGGCAGGTGTGGGGAAGGGGATGTCTCATGGGGAAGCCAGCGGGTAACCAGCCAGTTGGGAGGGCAGGCCTGAGAGCAGTGACCGCCCCAGGCCCGCTCCCGGCCCCTCCTGGGAGCCAGTGGGCCCCGGGCTCATGGCCTCCTCTGTCTTCTGTGCGTCTTGGCCAGAGGCGACACCAGTGCTGCCGCCTGATGACAGCTGCCCACTTCCGGTCAGCCGCCAAGCGCCCCGGGACAAGGGGACGGCAGGGTCTCGTGTGGCAGCCAGGGCCCAGCGGCTCCTGAGGCGGAGCAGAGCGCGCTGGCCTGAGCCCCCACCCCGGCCTGGGTGCCACCCTCTCCTCCCACCTCACACGCCACGCCGGGCGCTTTGCTCTGGCGGACACGCGGGGCAGGGCAGGGCCCGTGGTAAAACAAAGGCACACTTTATTACGGTACAAACAGGCCACTCTCCCGGGGACACGCTGGCCTCTGCTTGGCCAGGGGCGGGGCAGTGCCCCCAGCAGGTCCAGGACGGGAGGTGGACCCGTGTCCAGTTCTGCTCCCAGGACCACTTTGCTTCAAAAATGAACCACCGCCAGGCCCAGCTCGCCCCTCCCCTCCCTGGAAAGTTTGGAAGCAGCTCCCACCCCCTGGGGAGTCAGGTGCACCACACCCTGCCCGCCCCCTTCAGTTTCAGAAACCAGATTCGACAGGAACAGGTTCATGCCTTCTGTGACCTCAGCACTAACAAAACCCACACTTGGCCTCCTGGACCTCACTTGGAGCTCACCCAAGCGCTCCAGGAAGCACCTGTCAGCTGACGGCATTTCCTGGCTGCCCACTGTCCGGCGCTGCCGCCCACACTCGTCCTGCCTCCCCACCAGGGCGTCCCAGCACCCCAGACACGGCAGGGACCGGAGGCCACTGGGCCAGCGGGGCCCGAGGGCCGACTTTCCAGGGGACAGGCCTGTCCTTGCAGACAGGAAGTGAGCGGCTTGGGCAGTAAGGCTGTGCCAGGGTACCTGTCCCACAGAGCCTGGGACGCGTGCACGGATACACCGACAGGGAGACGAGAAAAAACCGGCCTGGCCCTCCCGGTTCAACAGTTCCCAGAGGCTTCCTCCTGGGGAACCCTGCCTGCGGGTACCGGGTCATGTGGTGCAGGACCCCTCCCTAACACCTGGCCCCCTGCCCCCACTGTCCTGGTGTCAGGAACAGAGCTGTTGGCCGAGCTGGGGGCTCTGCACAGGGCCTGGGGCAGAGCTTAGCCAGGGGGACCCTGCCGCCGTCCTGCAGAGGGCGTGAGGCGGGCCGATGGCTCAGGAGAGCAGGGAGGAGGGGCAGTGCCCCGGGGAGGGGGCAGCGAGTGCCTAGAGGAGGCGGGTGACGTGGCAGTTGCTGGGTTGGTCCAGAAACAAGGTGCTGAAGACGTCGTTGAAGAAGCTGGGGTGGTACCTGCAGGCCCGCTCGCAGTCGGGGTTGAAGTTCACCTCCAGGATCTGTGGCTGCATCACCCGCCGCCCTACGGGCAAGGCACAGAGCTGGCTGAGGGCCGGGCGGGGCCCCAACTCCCACCAGGGATGGAGCTGCCCAAGCCCCGAGGACGACACAGCTTGGATGCTCACTGCAGGGGCGGGGCCCAGCCCAGGGTGGGCTTGGATGCAGAGGGCCCACCAGGGCTGCACAGGGGCTCCCGCCACCCACCCACCCCTGCCCTCCTCAAGCCCAGGCCTGCAGGCAGACCGCAGCTGGCCCTGGGACGGGGGAGCCCCTCACCGTCTGGGCGGCTGTCCCACTTCAGCATGAGATCCACGGCGTACATGGCCCGGGAGGAGGGGTAGTCGCAGAGGCCCATGGGTGGGGGCTGGGCGCACGCCACCTGGAACAGCTCCCTGAGGGCCTGGAAGATGTCCGCCTGGGGACAGGAGGGTGCGGTCACGGCCGCTGGGCCCTGACGTGGGGATGAGGGCCCAGGGCAGCGGCCCAGGGTGGGCTTCTGCCCCGGTCTGAGCCCTGGCCCGATCGCCCGCTCCTCCGTCTGTGCCGCTCCCTCCTGCCCCCCGCCCCCCGCCGCTCAGGACCCACCTGGACGTCGCTCCAGGGGAACCCCGGGTACTGCTTCTCGAACTCGGGGATGAACTCCTCACAGTGCACCTGCAACAGCCACACGGGGCCACGCTGTGCCCGGGCCTCGTACCCACGGGGGAGCCAGGGGGTCGGGGCACTCGCTGTGGGGCTCCGGACACGAGGAACCTCCCTGAGCCCCCACGTCCTCCTGTGTGAGGCGGGAGGGCCCCCTGCCCAGCAAACTGCGCTCGCGGGCTGAGCCACCAATGCCAAGGGCGCGGGAGGCTGCCAGGCCCAGGTCTCCACACCAGGGCTCACTGCAGTGTGCCGGGCCCCTCCTGTGTCACCGCCCAGCACCGGCTCAGCTCAAGCCGAGGGGCAGCGAGAGCTCGGGGCCACGCCCGAGGGAGCCGGCAGGCGTCAGATTCGTCCCAGGGGACGAGCTGGGAGCGGCCCCTTCGGAACCCGAGTCCGCACAGGGCTCCTGGGGACGACACACGCGACACACAGGGACTCAGGACCCCAGGGACGGCTTCTCGCAACGCTCTGGAGACTGGCCACGAACCAGAGAAGGAACGGCCTGCCGTGCCGGCTCAGCGCCCACGGCGTGGCTCAGTGCCCCCCAGTGTTCCACGCCGCGTGGCCGCTGCACTTCACAGCAAGGAACCCACCGGCGGGGCACCCAGCTGAGGGGGCGCGGTAACTGACAGTTAGCCGAGGCCCCGAGTGTGCCAGGGGCCGGTCTGCAGTGTTTGGGAGACCCGCGACGCGTCTGGGAGTGCTGCTAGTGGGGCCCGGCCCACGGCCTCCGGGTGCCTGCGGCCACCTGTGCAGGTGCGTGGGCCGGCCAGCACCACTCCGGCAGCCTCCCCTGGGGGGGAGCCCCGCCCTGCCGCCCCTCCCTCAGCCATGCCCACTGCCCGTGGGTCAGGACGGGACGGACCCCGGGGGAAGAAGGGGGTCCCGCTCCTGGGCAGGGCCTGGCAGGGCCCCTCGGGCTCACAGGAAGGGAAGGGTGTGTGCCTGACTCGCTGTGGGACCTGGGGGCCGCCCTGCACCCTGCTCTCCCAGCAGAGCCAGTGGAGAGAGGGCGACCCGGCACAGGGCCCCGAGGCTGGCACTGGCGGCCTCAGGACACCAGGATGCAGACAGCAGCCCCATGTCCGGCCGTCTGTCTGGAGCGCGCGCCTCGGGCCCTGCAGGCCCTACCTGCTTGAGTACCACGTCCGGGCTGTAGTTCATGACCGTGAAGTGCTTCTCGTAGTCGTCCAGGTCGTCGAGCGCGAAGGGCCTGGAGGACAAGCGGACGCTGAGGTGCGGGGCTGGCCCGCACCGGCCCCCTTGACCGCAGGGTGCTGGGTGCGATGCCCCCTCAAAGCAGCGCGGGCACACAGCACAAACGGGGCGGAGCCAGCACCAGGGCGCTGAGGCCGGAGGGGAGGAATCTCCACCAGCCCCGGGCAGCCGGCCCACCAGGCTCCCAGAGGTGGCATCAGCACAGGCTTCCAGTCCCTGCCCCTCCGCCACTCGCGTGGGGATTTACCGTGAGGGGACGCCGCGGTGGCACGGGGGGGGGTGGGGGGGTGGGGGGCTGGGCTGCAGGTAAAGCATCCCATAATCCCATATGGGTACCGGTTCGAGTACTGGCTGCCCCACTTCCCATCTAGCTGTGGCCTGGGAAAGCAGTGGAGGATGGCCCAAGTGCTTGGGCCCCTGCACCCATGTGGGAGACCTGGAAGAAGCTCCTGGCTCCGGATCAGCCCAGCTCTGGCTGTTGCGGCCATCTGGGGAGTGAACCAGCAGATGGAAGACCCCTCTCTCCCTCCCCCTGCCTTCCAAATAAAATATGAGGCTCTGACCACCACCAAGTGGGCTAAGCCCGGGCCAGGACCGCCGGCTCACGGAGTGCCAGGAAAGCCAGCCCTGCCGGTCCTTGCACAAGGCCACTGCCACACACGGGCCCTCCACCTTGGACCGGAACCTTCCTCTTCTCCCTAAAACCCCGTCCGGCGTACTGTGTAACCGGCAGCAGGAAACAGAGGAAGACAGACGCCATCCCCCGGCCCCTCCCCCCGTGGCCCCGCCCCGGCCGGCGCCCCCGTACCGGTTGGAGAAGCGCAGCCAGAACACGTCGTACACGAACAAGC